GTGTATATAGGTAAGCAATCATACTCCAAAGTAATGATTTTGAGTGCCCAATTTGAGACATTTCAAAGGAACCTGATTTTCAGAGCATACTCAGCATTTTTTTTTAAAACCAAGTGTCCTTTTTAGTATCTGAATTTGGGCACCCAAATTTACAAGAGGCTATTGAAAATCCTGGACAGGACACATTTTAAACTCTCTATCAAATGCCTACCGTTCTTCCCTGTACCATAACTCCAAACATTGGATTATAGTCCTGTAGTTTGTTTCTGTTGATAAAAAAAGTTGGCCCTCTGCTTTGTCAAATTTAGCCTCAGTTCAGGAGAAATGGAGAATTATTCTTAAGGATGCATTTCTGATGTGGTACTCTTCAGTAGAATATAAAATATCTACTGAGAAAAGAACCTACATTGTTTATCTGTCAAGATGCGTCTGAGCATTAGAATCATTGTGGTCAGGGAGAGCGCATTGTTGGACAGTTTTCTTCACAGGTAGCTTATTTTTCTGTCAGCATCTATGCTGCTGAATGTTTAAAACAGCTTCTATGTTAACTGTTGATTCCTTTCATTTATTTAATACAAAAGTTGAAAGCCGTTATGTTTTTATTTATCATTCTGACTTATTTATGCTCTCTTTCTATGTGGCAGGTGAGACTTTCAAAATATTGTAGTTAATATGAGAGGTGAGACTTTCAAAATATTGTAGTTAATATGAGAAGTAGACATGGAACATATAAATAAAGACCTATGCTGCGAGTGACCTTTTTCATGACTGCTAAGGAGATTCTTGTAACAATGCTATTCTGAAAAAGTGGCTGGGTCAAATGAGAACTGGACATAAGAACTTTTGCAGTGTATGAATGTTTATTAGAAGTGCCATTATGAACTGATTCACAAAGGTATCACTTATGGAAACTGAAGATGGATGTAGCAATCAATTCAACCTAAATGGAACGTACCCATGGACATTTTTTTCTTTGGGTTGAGGCATAAGGGAAGATACCTAATAACATTGACTTGTAATATTCATAATCATAATGTATCCTATTACCTTTTGACACTTGCATAGAAAACATTAAAATGAGCAATAAACAAAACCATCTGCCTAGCGTAACCAGTTAGTCATTTAAAGATGCACAGATCGCAGCAGGGTCTTCGTCTACAGCTTGGGCTCTTAGGTGCTACAGTAATACAAATAAATAATATTTATAATGAATATTATTTCAAGTGACTTTTCTAATATCAGCCCTTCTAAATAAACTTAAAGTTTGAGATTTTAAAAGCCTTGTTAATTAATATTACAGTAAGGAAAAAAATGTCTGCTAGATATCTCGGTAGACATCCCCACAGTATTGACTATGGGGAGTGAGTTCTATGTATATGGTGTATGAACAAAATAAAGAATACTTAGTTTGCTTTAAAGTAATCTTTAAATAGCACTAAGTTAACGTGGAGTAGGTACTGTGATGGGTTGCAATCACAGAAGGCCTTTTAGGGTTGTCCCAGGGTGATGCCGTTGATGTCTGCCTTCCTGCTTCCTGGGACTCCCCATCACCCTGTCCTGGAAGGCCAGATTCTCTAGCAGAACTGCACAGACACTGAACCAGTTCAGCTCTGTGGAGGCTCATCTGTAAGGGCTCAGGAAACAAACCCACAAATGGGACCAAACCCCCAAATAAATCCATCTTGTTTTATGTAAAAGTTTTACACAGAGAAAGCTGGTAAGGTCAGCCCCCTTTATCAATGAAAGAAAGAGATGCATAGTGGTCACTCCCCTCAAGTAACAGTTATTTACACGTGGCTTGATAATAAGCAAAAGTGTTAGGTATAAAAAGTAGGATTTAAGTGGTTGCAAGTGAAAACAGTCAGATCAAAGTAAGTTATTAAATTGAAATGAATAAAATAAATAATTGCTTTAGCTAGTTCTAATGCTCTAAACTTGTTACATGAAAATTCTTACACTAAATTGTTGTTTTAAACATCTCTTTCACAAATTAAGCAGCCTCCTAGCTTGAACCTGATCTTCCCCCTGTTCAGTCTTAGATGTTTCCAGCAGGCATATTGGGTGGTATGGGGGGGAGGGAAGGGAGTATCCTGGCAGCTGCCTATTGTTTGTCTTCCCCCTCTTGCGTCCCCTTTGCCCAAGGTGGGAATTCCTTGTGCTTAATTCAAAGTTTTCTCACCTTGAGTGGAAAATTGGGTGCCAAATGTCTTTCTAGGGCCAGCCATAGTTTGGGCTTACAGGACAACCAAGACTATTCACAGTCCATTGGGTTGTTCACTGAGACATTAGGTTTCCAGGGCATCAGTGATGACCCGCCCTCACTAACACATTTTAGAAGTATAAACAGATCCATGCTTCATATTTCTAATTTCACACACAAGAATGAAACACACACAAAATAGGATATACACATTTAGCAGATTGTAATATTAAAACTAATTCTCATGAGGCCTGGGGGGACTGTCAGAGATAACTTACACATCTGCAGTATCCATAGAGGGGAATTACAGAATAACTCTCTAGTGCTTCCTACAGTTAACATCCTGTTGCCCAAATTCTGGGGCCATGTGGACAAGCCCTTAATTTCAGATGATTTGCGGGGAGGAGGGCCAGCTTTTCTAGAGTGGCAGTTCAGATGAACCATCATTCCATTTAATTAATCTGAGCAATTTATTTAAATGGAACTTTTAAAATATCATGTGAGTTTGAACTAAAAAATACAGCTGATCAGAAAACTTTCCCCATTCAACAATATTTGAGATTTTGAAAAATTATCCCATTCTAAATCGTCAAAAAGTGAAAATTTTGAAAATGTTCCTGAATTGAACATAAATTAAGATTTGATTGAAATTTTTAACTTATTTTTACTATAAAATATCTTAAATTTTTAACTTAAAGGGGGATTGAACAAATTAAACTTCCCATTTAAAAAACATTGAAAGGAGACATTTCAACAATTTCAAAACTTTTTTGTGAACATTTTTTAAACTTTTTTCCAAAGCAAACCTTTTGCACACAAATTTTGGTTTCAGTAAATTGGTATATTCTTCTGTTTTGTTGAAAGTTTTACATTTTCCTCCACAAATGACTGCTCAATAGCTAATCATGCCTAGTCAAAGGCTTTTGACATCAGACACTTCTGCAACATGTGGAATTTGCCAGTTGGAGCAGAGAAGTTTCTCTGGGAGGCTCAATTATTTTCAATTACAGCTGTGTGAAATTTTTATAATGGAAACATAGTATCATGCTAATCATTTATGATACCCTAATCTGGTTGTGAAAATTACTTTTTAAAGTCCATGCAAACATTAGAGGCCTCACCTGGGGTTCTCTTCAGTTAAGTCGTCACCCAAGGCTTGTTTGAGATATCGGCTGTCTTTTATGAATGGGAGGGAGCAGATGTTCTGGAATCCCGCACTCCCCTATGCCCTATCTTTTCATGGAAATATAGCTGACTCATATAGGGTGTCTTCAGAAAGTGGCCATATGCACTGTTTCCTACCCCTTGATGTATTCTGGGACACATCCACTTGGTAAGTAAGGATAGATTTCAGTAGGACTAGTGTTTTACTGCTGAATACCGATACAGCAAGTTGCCCACTCTCATGCATATCCTGATGGGCTAGGGCCAAAGCCAGCATATTCTCCCTAGCAAGATAACAGGGGAAGGACTAAGGCAACTATCTCCAGCAGAGTAAGCACAGATGCCAGCTGGCTGGTTTGCTGAAGACCCTGAAGTTTGTTTGAATTTAGTCTGCACCATCTGCTGACATATACCTTCCCATTTTGACCTAGGATATCTGTGAATGCCAAAACTGGCAGGTAGAAATTTTAGAAGAACTCTTGGATTCAATACAATCTGAAGTCTTGGAAACTGTACCTTTACTTTTAATAGCGTAGAAGTAGAGAATATCTGTGCCCTAGTAATGTCATCTGGGATAAGAAGAGTCTCTACCTAAAAGCTGAAATATTTCAGTCATTCCTAAAGAAATCTTCACAACATGCTAGAACCCTTGCAAATGAAACTGATGGGAAAATTGTATCACCCCTCAGTAGCTCCCCAGAACTGTTGCTGCAGTGCTGATGCTCCCACAGCTTCAGGCTTCATTGAGACTGTGGGGCAGCCTTTTTTTTTTTTTTGCTTCCCTCCCTCAGAACCCGGGGGGGGGGGGGGGGGGGTTGTGCAGCAAATTTCAGTTTAGCAAGAGCACCACTTGCAAAATAGTGTCCAATGTTTAAACTCTACTTTGCAAAACAATTGAGATACTATTGACAGTGGTTCGTGTCAATCACACTTCAGATGGGTGCATAGTAAAAAGAGAGCACTTTGAGTATGTTTACACTACAATTAAGTCCCTACAGCTGGCCCCTTCCTGAGGATTAGAGGTTATTTAATTGCAATGTGGACATTTGGGCTCAAGCACGGTAGAGTGAAAGGGTCTCCAGAGCTCAGGCTCCATTCTGTAGCGATTAAATTTTATTCTGTGAAGTGTCATTAGCGCTGAATTTAATTTTGAAAACACTTATCATGGTTAGAGTGCCCAGAAAGAGAGGGATGATCAAGTATTAGGGAAATTCATTTTCTGAAGTCTTAAGAAATCTTTTATTGAGACTTCATAAATTTAATATGCAGTACTTAGATTACAGTAAAATCAGAGTCCATTGTTCTAAGCATTGTGCAAATACCCTTGATATCCCAAGGAGCTTATAATTTAATTTTAGGAATGTATAGTTGTCATGTAAATATAAATACCAATAAATCAATGGCTGATTTGCTTAAAGAAGTGGAGCCGAATTGTACTCAAGCATTTAAGAGTGACTATGGTGTGGTACTCATAAAAAGTTGTCTAAAGATGTTACTTGGACAAGTGTCATTGTTAGCTGAATCTTTGAAGTTTCTTCACTCCTGGTCTCTACAGTGTACCTGTTATAGAGTATATTTTCTTACTACTTTTTTTTATAGATGCTAACGACCTTTTCTGCCTTTTCCCTCTGTTTAGTGGGATTGGTCGAAACTGGCCCTGGGCTTCTGGAGGAAGCAGTATTCTGGCAGAATTTGGAACTCTGCATTTGGAGTTCATACATTTGAGCCATTTGTCTGGAAACCCAGTGTTTGCTGAAAAGGTTAGATTCTTTCATAAAATTTTTATGTAAAGTGTGAACATTTGGAATATATGTAGTTTGTGTATTACAGTAAACAGGTTTCTGGGGAATTCATACTAATGAACACAAACCACATGGCTGAATGGACAGATTCCTTTTGTCATGGATATAAAATTATTAAAGCTCTCATCAGGCCACATATTTGGAAGGTTGGTTAACTGGTAAATTGATGTAGACTTGGCATTTGGAACTCAGCAGCTATTTCATTTGATATAATTTGTTGGCTATGGTGAAAACCACAAATGAATTTTATATTCAGATAATATACTGTGTCATACAGACATACAGACTGTGTCCTAGAAATCACTTCGATGCATTGTTTTTAAAATTCAGGGTGCCACTGTTATAAGTGAGGGACTAGGGGAGTCTTCCATTCCTTGTCCCTCTTTAGAGAGTGTTCATAATGTTTTAAGGAAAGTACCCTTTTTATGTGACATTTCTCCGACTTGTTCACAGCCCAAAAGTGCATTTTTCCGAGTTTGGTAAAATTCTGCTTGGCCATTTTTGAGTTTTTTGAGCTTTTAAAAATAACTTTTCAGTACTTAAAAAATTGTTGTGGCTAGCCCTGTATTCACATTTAGTAGCTACAATAGATTTTTTAAAACTTCAAATTTGCCTTTATGATTTGTTACATATTACAAAAACATAATGGAAAAATACTTTTTCAGTCGAAAAAAATCCTATGATGCATATATAGTTCAGTTTTTCTACTGAATTTTTAACATAGTACACCATGGTACAATATTGCATTCACTAGTGCACAGGTTTACATTGAATCAATGCAGATACATTTATTAGAATATATAAATATTTAAATAAATGTACTACAATAATTTTAATACTTCCATGTATGTACAATATAAAAATGTTCCCAGTTAATTGTTCCTTAACAAGCATAAATATGTTTTCATAAGAAAAATTGATAGTTATTGATAGGCACATTATATATAACTATCAATAATAACTATCATAAAACCTCTTTGAAAAAATGAAATTTTAAAAAATGAAATTTGATATCGAATAAGACACTCCACAGATAAACCACAGTTTGTCTATTCAGTATCCCCCCTTAAAAGCCTTGTTGACAATCTAACATGATCTGAAGGTCAGTGGGTTTGGTTTTTTTGGGCTAATGGTGGAGATGAAATGGTGAATATGGATGAAATACACGTACATGTATTGAATATGTGTTTTAAAATAAAAAAAACTTTTAACAAAATTCCAAATTCAAAAAACTTCAAATTTGTGGTTAGAATACTACATTGAACATATATTTCACATTGTTGTTGTTGTTGTTGTTGTTCGTCCATCGTATTCGAAGAGGACCTTGACATCTAACGGGTTATGGACTGTTCATGGTGTGTCCGCAAATGGCTGATAAGGCCGATACGGGCACGGAATGTTCTACCACAGGTCGGGCAGACATGTGTGGGCACCACTGTTGCAGCTTTTGCAACTCTGGCTTTACGGAGTGCTCGCTTCTCTTGTGCTATGGTTGTCCTTCTGGCTTCAGATGTTTGACAGCCTTGGTAGATCAGCGTGTGCCATGTTGATCGGTCTTGTGCCAGGGTCTCCCAGGAGGTGGTGTCAATATCCAGGGACTTGAGAGAGGCTTTAAGCGTATCTTTGTATCGCTTCTTTTGTCCCCCGTGCGATCGCTTCCCTTGAAACAGCTCACCATAGAAGAGCTGTTTAGGGATGCGATGATCTGGCATCCTTGCAACATGGCCTGCCCAGCGTGTCTGAGCTTTCATCAGCAGGGTGTAAACTGACGGCAGACCTGCTCTAGAAAGGACTTCTGTGTCTGGCACCTTATCCTGCCACCGGATCCTCAGAAGTCTGCGGAGGCAAATCGTGTGGAAGTGGTTCAGTTGCCTAGCGTGCCTCCTGTATACAGTCCAAGTCTCACTGGCGTACATCAGGGTAGTTAACACTACTGCTCGATAGACTTTAAGCTTTGTAGCAAGACTTATTCCACGGCGGTCCCACACTTTGGTCAACAGTCTGCCGAACGCAGAGCTTGCCTTGGCGACTCTGCAGTTGACCTCGATGTCAATTGTCACTGAGCGGGAGAGGGTGCTGCCAAGATATGTAAATTGGTCCACTGCTTGCAGCTTTTGTCCCTTCACTGTGATGGTGGGCACTTGATGCTGAGCTTTTGGAGCTGGCTGGGGCATCCCTTCGGTTTTCTTTGTGTTGATGAGAAGGCCGAAGTTGTCGTATGCTGCTGCAAATTTGTCCATGCTGGCTTGCATTTCCTGCTCTGATCCAGCATTCAGGGCGCAGTCATCAGCAAAAAGGAGATCTCGTAACACAGTCTCTTTTATCTTGGTGACAGCCTGGAGTCTTCGCAGGTTAAACAATTTCCCATCGGTCCTGTATCTCAGTCTGATTCCCAAGGAACTGTTCTGAAAGGCGTCTGACAGCATGGCTGAAAACATTATGCTGAACAGGGTCGGTGCCAGCACACACCCTTGCTTGACGCCGTTTGTGACGGGAAAGGCCTCTGAAGCTTCTCCATCATCCAAAACACGAGCCGTCATGCCGTCGTGGAACTGACGTACCATCAAGATGAATCTGTCAGGGCACCCAAACTTCGACATGATGCGCCACAGACCTTCGCGACTGACAGTGTCAAAAGCCTTGGTGAGATCCACGAAGGTGGTGTACAGTTCACGATTCTGCTCTTGACACTTCTCTTGAAGCTGTCGGGCTGCGAAGATCATATCCACCGTGCCACGCTCTTTGCGGAAGCCGCACTGTGTCTCGGGTAATAAACCCTGTTCCAGGTGGTTAATCAGACGATTCAGCAACACTCGTGCAAGGATCTTACCTGCGATGGAAAGCAGTGATATTCCTCTATGATTATCGCAAACTTGTCGATTTCCTTTCCTCTTGTAGAGGTGTACGATAGACGCGTCTTTCAGTTCCTGAGGAATAGATCCTTGATTCCAGAAGGACTGGAACAGCTGAGTGAGTTTGTTGACAAGCACTGCACCACCACCCTTATAGACTTCCGCTGGAATCGCATCAGATCCTGGGGCCTTGCCACTGGACAGCTGGCTGATGGCCTGTAAGGTTTCAGTCTCTGATGGTGAGACATCCAGGCTGTGGTTGATATCCGCCTGGGGCATTCTATCAATCGCCTCGTTATTGATGGAAGATGGGCGGTTCAGTACGGATTGGAAGTGCTCAGCCCAACGCTGTAAAATCAGAGCCTTCTCAGTAATGAGAGTTGCACCATCTGAGTCCAGTAGAGGGGAACTCCCTGAGGGCTGAGGTCCATACAAGGATCTAAGGGCTTCGTAGAACCGTTTGGCATCGTTTCTATCAGAAAACTTCTGGATTTCATCTGCTTTGGCACTCAACCAGGAGTCCTGCATCTTACGAAGCTTGTTCTGTACGATCCTGCGAATGTTGTTGAAGGCATTTTTCTTAGCTGTTGACGATGGGTCATTCTGGTGAGCACGGTGAAGGCGATGCTTTTCAGCAAGTATGGCCTTGATCTCTTCATCGTTTTCATCAAACCAGTCCTGCTGTTTCCTGTGTGAGGGTCCAAGAACCTTTAGTGCAGAAGAGTGCACAATATCCCGGAAGCGTTCCCAGTCCTTCTCAGCATTTTCCTCTAATTGCAGCTCTAAAAGTTGGTTGCCAAGATCTTCTGCTAGTAAAGTTGCTGTGTTGGGGTTCCTCAGTCTACTGACATTGATCTTTTTCATCACAGCTTTGTTTCCCTGCGGACGTCTCTTTGGCTTGATGCGAAAGCTTAATTTGGAGATGATAAGTCTGTGGTCAGTCCAACAGTCAGCACTCGGCATGGCCTTGGTCACCCTTACATCCTGTCTGTCTTTCCTCCGCACAATGACATAATCAATGAGATGCCAGTGCTTAGAGCGTGGGTGCATCCAGGACGTCTTTTTGCGAGTGGGCAGGCGGAAGATGGTATTGGTGATGATCAAATCATGAGCCGCACATGTCTTCAGTAATAGTAGGCCATTGCTGTTACATTTACCGATTCCATTTTTTCCAATGACGCCATCCCAGGCAGTGTGATCAGATCCTACTCTCGCGTTGAAATCGCCAAGTAGAATCAGCCTGTCAGTGCGCTTCACGGATGAGAGTAGGGCATCGAGATCTTCATAAAACTTGTCCTTTACTTCATCCGGATTCGTCATTGTGGGCGCGTAAGCGCTGATCAGTGTGGCTTGCTTTCCTCTCGGTAGTGGAAGATGCAGTGTCATGAGTCGGTCATTCACGCCCTTGGGAAGACTGGCAAGTTTGCGGACAAGATGATTCTTAACCGCAAAGCCAACTCCAGATTCACGACGTTCGTCACTGCTGCGTCCACGCCAGAAGAATGTGTAACCACCTCCTGTTTCCATGAGCTGACCTTCATTTGCTAGACGAGTTTCACACAGTGCCGCAATATCGATGTTAAATCTTGTGAGCTCTCTGGCGACCAGGGCTGTTCTTCTTTCTGGGCGGTCTGCTGAAGGGTTGTCCTGAAGCGTGCGTACGTTCCATGTGCCAATAGTGAGTGGTGTCACCTTGCATTTTGTTCGAAATTTTATTGTTCGACCGCATGAGATGGGATCCCCTCCAGCCGCGGTAAGCTGGCCAGGGTTCTGTGAAGCAAACAATGTTTAGGGCACCTTTTCTAGCCCCTTCCTCTTACTACGGAGGTGAGCAGTGCAATCCTAAAGAGGGCTGCTCAGTCACTCAGGTAGACGCCGAATCCAGCTGTTGCTTCCACCAGCAAGAAGACGACCATTAGACCTGAGCCGCCTGTGTGCAGGTCCGCGGCTACAGCTCCCAGTGTATCCACACCTGCTGCTTCGTCGCTCGCCCGTCGCCACAGGACTTAGGAGATGTCGAGATGTCAAGACTTGCGCGTGAATTGGATTAAAGTGAGGGAGAGGTGCGCATAGTCAGCCTCACTCTCTCTTCCCAGATTCCATCTTACTCCAATGGCAGGACTAAAGTCGAGACGGTTGGAGATGGGCTGGGCGCAGTGGTTGACCAGGTCATCTTTCGTGTCTTGCCGTGCTCTTAGCGTACCACATCGCTTGCAGAAACCACCTTCATGACCGTTGGTCCTATTCTAGTAGGTCTCATCCGCTCGATCCGCCGGAGTCTGTCTTCACATGCTCGGGATAGACAAGTCCCTATCTCACCGAAGGTCGATGACCCGACGGCTACTCTCAACCTGGTTTAGCCAGCCTGTCGAAGCTGTTGCCCGGGGTGTGGCCGCTGCACATGCTACAGCTACTAGGAGCCACAGGTGAGAGTTGAGTGACAAGTGGGGACCAAAGGTGGACGAGCTGCCCTAAAAGGACACGACATGCCCGTACATCAGAGGTGCTACCCCTCCCTGAACACCCCATACACCCCATATATTTCACATATATTTTATATAAAATATTACTATGTGCGGAGGAGTAGAATTACAGATGTTGCAATCACATTTTAATTTCCTGGCTTTGTTTATTTTAGATCTCAACAGTAATATTTTATTAATGTATTTTACATACTTAATTTTGTTTATTAATTAGAAATATGTCAGACGTATATACAGCAATATACACAATTTAAAAATGACTTTAGTTTGTTAAATTACGGTACCTTAATACAGCTTCCTTTGGAATTTGCTAAACTTTGTTTAGACCTAAAAGTTGTCAACCTTTTAATTGAATATTAAGTACACCAAGTTTAATGGATTGACTGAACAATGTGTTTCCATTTTTGAGCAAATTGTACAGTATATTAAAGTTCACACAGTTATTGTAACCTATGAGATGCAGATGCAAAACAAGATTAATGACTGTTAAATATAAATTTCATAATTTTCCCCCAGACTCACAAGAATTGACATTTATGATGACAATTTTTAAACTAGTATTAAGAACAAAGAAAAATCTAATGAAAATGCATGGATTGATCATCTTTGCAAAGAAGCCAAAGATTTGAATAGCCTTTAAATAAGACTACATTCTTTATCACAGATGTAGGAACTCCAAATCAAAGCTGGAGACAATGTTTTAGGGAGAAGCTTCCATTGCTCCTGCCTTACTGTTTCTGTTCTGTGGCTAAATCTTGATCATCTTCTTTCAATACAGATAATCTGGTGTATTTCATTAAAATTCCTTAAAAAAAGAGATGTTCTCTGTATACAATGAACCATTCTGGAGGGTAACTCAGACTTCATGTAATGCAGAATATTACTGCTATCCTGTAGTCCTGCAGTGAGTTCACTATCAATGTACTGTGACTGTTACAGAGAGAGACTTAACTGAACAAAACTTGTTGCATATAATACATTGTATCAATGCTTTATTTAGTGCTCCAACCTGAAAGTGTTTCTGGGCTACAGATTAAATTCCTAATTTTAACATGCCACAATGGCTGAGTTTAGATGGAGAGCCCAAATGACAAAGATTTGATCATCTGGGGAGCTGAATGGGAAGACATTTTCACTGGAAGGCTCTCAGTTCTGTAATTTATTTCTACCATGTTGTCTTCCTCTTTAGTTCAACAAATCCAGATCTTCAGGAGCATATTGCAGATCTCTTGACCTTAACTTTTTATGAGGGAGAAGTTGAATGGAGAATCTCTATTTGTTCTGTGGAGCTTTTTACTTGATGACATTAGAATAGATATGTTTATTTTTTTAAATGTGCCTATGCATAGAGGTCTTTTGATAGAGGCATTATCTATCTTGAAATAATATTTTTATTAAAAATATTTATGCATGTTGATAAAAGGAGGATGCACTGATGCTACTTGTTTTTAAGGGGAATCTAAGGCTGGATTAAGAGCTCATTGTTTGGTTTTCTTTGTAATAGGTAATGAACATTCGAAAAGTTCTAAACAGGCTTGATAAACCAGAAGGTCTTTACCCTAATTACCTGAATCCCAGTAGTGGTCAATGGGGTCAACGTAAGTATGGCACTTCTTCAGAACTGCCACTTAATTATTTTTATATACCATTTCTAGGTAGAAATAAACCCTTGATTGTTTCTTTCACTGTTTCCAATTGACGAATATGAATTCAGATTGGGTTACTTAATTTTCTGTCTGCTTCATGTATGTTTATGTATTTTTCTTTGACCTCTAGCTTATTTGTTAGTTCAAAGCTTTTGAATGAGTCTAAGTGTGTGATGAAAAATGCTTTTTTTTAATTGAAAAATCTCAAGCGCTCTGTTAAGGTAGCTGTTTTAAGAAAAGCTATCATCTTACCTTGAATCAAAATTCTATGTTGCTATAAGCTGGTGTAATTCTACTGAAGTTTGCCAGTTTATGTAAGCTGAGGATTTGCCTCTGTATTTCTTCTGTGGGTACTCTCCTAGGTCCATTAAAATGTAGTTATATGTGTCTCATGTATTGGTTCCAAAGAGTTTTTTCCTAATGATATCAGTAGAAACCACCCTTCCAACACCCAAGATCTGAGTAGAAGGTATAGAGCATGGAGCCATCTCACCCTTCAGAGGAAGTGTAGAAGTAAACCAAGCATTTGTGGGATGTTTTTCCATTGACATTTTCTATCAGCATGTTTACTGGAGAGTATGCACTTAGTACTTTCCTTAGTACTTTCCTCAAGAGAAGACACAAATGAGGTGAAAATCCCACAATCCCTCTTTCGATGAGACAACTTGAGTCACCTGAAGTGTAAAACACATATGCAATCAGTTGAAGAAAACGAACAATTATTCACCTCCATGTAACTATTTTTTCTCAAAATAAGTTGCATATGCCCTCTTTCCCAATACCTCTTGTCTACCATTGGCATGTTAGTCCAAATGAACTGAAGGTTTGAAGTGGCTCCTCCCTTTATACCTTCAATTCAAAGCTCAAGGACAGCGCACGGGTAGGGTTGCCAGGTGTCCAGTATTTGCGCTCTGTCTGGTAAAAAATATCAGAGAATACGAGACATGTGCAATGTCCGGTATGCTCTGATTTTTCGGGCTGTGCACCAGACGAAAGCCTGGTATGGGTGGAGGGGGACCAGCCACTCCCCTAGCCCTGACTAGGCTAGGCTTCTGAAGCGCCCAGAGCAGCGATCGCGGCCCCGCCTCCCAGGTGAGAACTCCCAGGCTGGGAGGCAGGGCCGCCATCGGTGCTGGGAGCCTGTGATTGCGCAGAAGTCTGGTGGGGGTGAGGGGAGTGGCTGGGAGTCACTGATGTATGAGATTTGCACAGACCTAGATTGCCTTAGGCATGTACAACTCACTTCAAAGACAAGGGCGCCATTTTGGGCATCTAGGGGAGGCAGCAGCCATGCGCTGCGGGACACGGCTAGCTTATCATCCTGTTCCCCAGACACTAAGGGAGTGAGGGGAAAGTGCTTGCATTCCATGCATTCCTCTCACACCTGTCTGGTGAGTTCCCTTTACCAGTCAGGTGTGAGACACGTGCACGGAATGCAAGCACTTCACTTCCACAGCATCCCGGGAACAGAATGAGAAACTATCCGCATCCCAGCGCACACGGCTGCCACCCCCGTCCTTCCCCCCACACATTCAAAATGGCGCCCTTACTCAAAGAACAGTAGTTATGAGAGGGTGGGTAGCAATTTCCTACAGTTGTGTGTTTGTTGTGCAGACAAAGAAGAAAATGACACTGAATTCTATTGTCTTCAGTTCCATTGGAGAAACGTCATGAGGAAAAGATCTAACACATAACTAACAAAATTCTTAGGGAGTGAATATGTCTCAGGCTTTTTAAGTTCTTGGCCCCTTTCTGGTCAGTTGACTTTTTGCTGTATCTACACTGCTTCTTATATTTCTTTAGCATGTTGAGGACATGAGCTGTTGAACTTGAAAGTGTTACTAAAATCCCTTTAATATTGTTGCAATATTAAACAGCTGTGTTTTCAGGGTGGTTATATGAAGGGACTTTGGTTTACTTTTACTATAGCAATATAATCAGCAGAAATTCTTCTGAATAATTGAGTCAGTGCACCCACTGAAAAGAAAAAAAAATAGAAAGTCTCAAAATACTTAGGCCACAGAGATACTTAGGTACCTGTGTCATGCATGCTAGATCCTCAAGCCAAGTGACAGGCATTCCCTTGCCTGTCTCATCTGTGGGACCTGAGCTGGTAGGTATGCTCTGAGTACACCTACTGGATTGGGGCCCCCCTTATCATTTTTAGCCCACTAGGTAGAACACTCATCCAGAATATGGGCATGCCCATTTAGTTACCCCCTTTGACTGATGGAGAGAGAGGTTCAATGCTTTGTCAGGAGCAAGCCCTAACTATTGGATGTTGGGTATTCAAATGTGGGGGGTCTTTCTCTCCTGTTGAACCTGTTCCGCTTTGGATAGATGCTGAAATAGTCATTGAGCCAGAAAGAGTGACTGAAAATAACTTTCTACCCTGTTGGTTAGTGAACTCACCTGGATGTGGGAGACCCCCAAGGGTCCAGTCCCTCCTTTCTAATGACTTGCAAATTATCTAAAGTTACCAGTTTCTATTTGGCTAGCTTAGGCAACTACCCACCTGGCATACAGACTTTTTTTGCAGATCCAATTTTAGTTCCTTTTATTTCTCTGCTCATTGATCACATATGTAGTTTTGGTGCCTAACCTAGGCTTAGTGATTTTCACAGTACCTGAAAGTTAGGAATTGCAGTAGCTTTGTTCCTCTGAGGAATCAAGCCATAGAATATACAAGAAAAATAATTTTTTCAGGCAAGTGGAATGACTTAATTTAGAAAGTCTCTTGCTGGTTTCAAATGTCAATTTTTTAAGCAACTATTTACTATTGACTTGTTTATTTTTGTTGTTTTCTGCTTTTTAAATAAGTTATCTACATTCATACTAGAGGACTAAAGAATAGATGGATAGCAAAAATCATTTAAGTCAGCATGAACATATGGTAGTTTATTCAGTTGACACCCACTTTTCTTGGTCTAGCACAACACTAAGTTGGCATGATCTGGTGGTCTTTTATCCTATTTTTTTTCTTTAAAAAGAGGAACAGGTTGCTTAGTCGGTCTTCTGTCATTTTGACTATATCAGGCAGCACAGTTAATTTCCGTGCTTGCCAAGCATGAAGTTGGTTAAACAAGACACACAAGGGAGGAAACATGAGCAATCCTCTGGTCTGTTTTCAGCCTGGATATATTGGCGAGTAGTCCTCAAAAGCAAAGGGAGTGACTATTTTATTTAATAATGGATTTGAGGATCCTATTAGAAAAGAGGAGACTAAGGATGGATATAATAGAGGTCTATTACATCCTGACAGGTATGGAGAAAGTGAATAAGGAAAAGTTATTTTCTTGTTCCCATGTCTATCTTGAATTTAAAAAAAAAAAAAAAAACCTAAATGTAGGAATATATGTCCATTTTAGTAAATTTCCAATCAGTTCTTATGGCAGTTGGTAAATTTGAAAATGTTTTTGGAAGTCTTTTTACCACCAGCCTTGAGCATGAACAAACTCAATTTATAGCATTCCTTTGCCTCCATTTTGTACCTGTTTTTACCAACAGTAGCGTAAAGTAGTGATTTTCAACCTGTGGTCCATAGACGATTTCTAAGATTTCCAAAGGGGTCTGAACATCCGTTTGAAATTTCTAAGAGATCTGCATATGAAAAAGGTTGAAAACCCACTGTTAAAAACATAGATACAGGTGACAATAACAAGATTTTATAACTTAATATATGTCATAGAATAGTAGAACTGGAAGGGACCTTGAGAGGTCATCAAGTCCAGTCCCCTGCCCTCACAACAGGACTAAGCACCATCTATCCTTTATAGATGTCTATCCAACCTGCTCTTAAGTATCTCCAGTGATGGAGATTCCACAACCTCCCTAGGCAATTTATTCCAGTGTTTAACCACCCGGACAATTTGGAAGTATTTCCTAAAACTCCCTTGCTGCAATTTAAGCCCATTGCTTCTCTTCCTATCATCAGAGGCCAAGGAGAACAATTTTTGTCCCTCCTTGTAACGCCCGTTTAGATACTTTAAAGCTTGATATCATGTCCCCTCTGTCTTCTGTTTTCTAAACTAAACAAGACCAATTCTTTCAGTCTTCCATCATAGATCAAGTTTTCTAGGCCTTTAATCATCATTATTGTTGCTCTTCTCAGGACCTTTTCCAATTTCTGTGTGTGTGTATATAATATAAAATCCCAGCTTGACGAAGCTCTGGCTGGGATCATTTAGGGAGGGTTGGTCCTACTTTGGGCAGCAGGATGGACTCAGTCACCTCCTGATTTTTCTTTCAACCCTATGATTCTATGATATTAGCTTAGCAAGGCTTTTCAAATCTTAGGCACGCATGCATGCAAAAAACTTACATAGATCTGTACAGCCACTCCCCGAGTTGCGAACGGTCGAGTTATGACCGTTTGCACTTACGACCAAAGCTTCTGTGGAGCGGTCTTAAAGACGGTCCCTGAGTTACGAACGCGGCCCGCGCTTACGAACAGCGCGGTCATGTGTAACTCAGTGTGGTCCGAGTTACGACCAAGCGTTTGGTCCGTAACTCGTTTGTAACTCGGAGAGAGGCTTATAGCACTATGTACATTTTAAGACTATGGGCATGGTTGGGTATCAAGACATTCTCCATGCCTGTGACCCTGTGCGCAGGCAATTATAGTTGCCTACTTCTCTGCCTGTACACCTTTATCAGCCACACAAACTCTGTTTCCTTCAGGTTTGTCATTTAGCAGCTGCCCCGAATAGATCTTCAAACACAATTGCCCTTGATGAAAACAATAATATTTACTGCCAGAGGTACAGAAAGAGAGGTCATAAAATGAACAAGAAATATGACTAGACTAAAGCATCACTATTCTGGCATTAAACTGACTTAGCTAATATTGCAATGCCTCAGATGATAGAAAAGCCCCGTTTTAAAGCTGCCTCTATGACTCTGATTTAAAAGTGAATCAAATTCTAATTCTGCTTTTTGGACTTTTGACCTTTCTATATTTATATAATAGTGCCTCAAACTTCTTTGGTATCAAATCCCTGGCATGTATCCAGGAGCTTGTAATTTATAAAGACATCTTCCCTTATCAATGACATGTAATTTGTATATAGAAATTAACTTCCTGTCCGTACAGACCATGCACACAAGTGTTGATACAGGTTGATCCGAGGTATGTTGAAAAAGTAACAATCTACATGTGTTTCCTCTGTTCCAATTCTATTGCTATTTGTTTGCAAGCACAAATTTTTCACAGTGGAAGAAAAGAACGTGTATCATAAAAAGTCTGTTTTATTTGAGGTTATTTTTCCGGTGCCTATTGATTGCAACTAAAAAACTAATTGCCACAACTTTGAAGCATTCATCTCTCAAACATCAGCCAGGGAAAAATAAAACAGCTTTTGAATGTTAGTGTTTTATTTACAATGCTATAACTCTGAAGGACATTGTTGGTTCACTGCCATTGTTCTTGTAAATTCATTTAGTCCTTGTTGTTTTGACAGTAAACTTACAGTGATTTGCTGCAGCATACGTCAATTGGATTTGTCTCCTGCAATAATGTATATAATAATAAGACTTATTATTGATGAGATTATGCCTGTGCTATTTAGTTTGCAAATGTCAGGGGTTTCTATGGTAATTTGATTTAGGAAACCACAAAGGTCATTTAAATGCTGCTGTTCAGTGATCAGCCCTCTGTCATAGGAAAAAATGCTCCTTAGGTTTTTTAAGAAACCTTTCTCCCTTTATATTCTGAATGATAATTAAGTGGTATATTTTATTTAAAAATTAGGAGGTGTGTTTAAAAAAAAAAAAAGCTCTCCATAATTGTGATTTACCATCTTAGTGCATTTGCTTAGGATGGGATAGTAGGAAACATTTTGAACGCCTAAATTGGACACTGGAGGTTACAGGCTAGTGGAGAAAAGACACATTGTCATGGTGAAACTTTAATGGAAATACATTTAGATTCTGTATTTGCATGGCTTTCCAGTACCCAAGGTGGGCAGGAAGACTAATGTTGTGAAGGAGGGTTAGAATTTAGGAATTTTTTAAAAATTTGAAATGCCCTGTTCAGCTTCACAGAGAAGCAAGGATATCTGTGAAATCATGGCCTACTGGAAGTAGGACTAAGGAGTCATTGATTGTATATCTAACTTTACATCAGACTTCCTGTTAATCCCTGTGTGCCTCAGTTCCCAAATCGGTAGAATTAGCTGATTTTAATTCATTAATATCTGTGAAATACTTTGAAATCATCTTATTGAGAGAAATCCTCTCTCCCCAGGGCAGGCTGCATACTGAATCCTCCATCCCAGCCCACACCATAGCAATGGTTTAAATGAAACATGTACATTTTAATTTTAATTTTAATTTCCAAAAAATACAAAAATTAATTGAATTAAGAACCTAGGCAATGCTGAATAAATCTCTCAGTAACTAATACATGTGTGAGATTAAGACTGTGGGGTTTTCCCAACTTTTTCTGTTTTTTAAAAAAGTTACAACATATTATAGGTACATATCTTTTTGTCTAACTTAGATTGAAGGCACTTATTTGGTGCAGAGACCTTGACTTTTTTCATTTTTCTAAAGTACTGTGAACTCCAGTGATACTGTATAAATTCTGCCTCCTCTCACCCTATTGCAAGTCGTACAAGCTGAAAGACTAACCATTTATTTTAAAACCTATTTTCTGCTGTAAAGTAATTTTTTTGTTTTGAGGTTTGGGGTTATATTTATTACATGATTGTATTAGAGAGGTATATTGATGTTAATCACATTTTTAAACTGTTTCAGTATTCAAATTAAAGGTGGAATTTCTGCTGAATGCTCTTCCTCCCTTTTCAGATCACGTCTCTGTTGGAGGGCTTGGAGATAGCTTTTATGAGTATTTGCTCAAGGCATGGCTGATGTCAGACAAGACAGATGAAGAAGGCAAGAAAATGTATTATGATGCTGTTCAGGTAAATGAGATAGTTAAATCTTCCTTGCCATAATAATCTAATCTATAATGTTCCTAAAGAAACAAGCTCTGGAGAGAATGAGGGATTTATGTCTCTGCTACTACAGTGAATATTTTTTTAAAAACTAGTTGTTTAAAGATTGTTTTATCAAATATAAATCTTAGAACAGTGCAGATGCTGTGTGGGAATCTAAAACTGAACTAAAATGTTATTTCAATTTAAGATGTAAAAATGGTATCTAATATTTCAAATGTGCATAAATTGTGGATTAATATGTAATTTTTTTACAGAAACTTTTATCAACAAGCAGTGCCAACTAGGATCCAATTTTCCTCATATTTTCCTGTGATATAGGGAGTCGTTCTACTCTGCATTTTAATTCCCAAAGCATATTACTTTAAACTACTACAGTATTTTGAATATGGGCATAATAATGTCAGTAGATAATTATCGGTGAAGTTACAGTGTTGGATTAGTGTTGTGTAAGCATATTAGTTATATGAAATATCTGGGGTTTTTAGCTTTTGTGAAGTGGCAAACAGCTTGAAGTGAACTGTGGTGGAAAAAAGCTTTATCTAAAATAAAAATTGTGCATCGTCACGCTTCTTAATTGATAAAATAGACTCAGTTTTGCACTATTCTGTGATATGTTATACTTCTCTATACTCAGTTTTCAATACTATAAATAATTCATTTAAGGAAGGATGGTCTTGAGTTTAGGATGCAGGTTTAATTTCAACATCTTTGCCATAATATGTGTCTGTTCTTGAGCAAATCATTTGAATACTTTTTGTCTCAACTTCCCCTCTGTCGAATGGCAACAATTCTATTTCCATTCTTTAACACTGTGTGCCTTTTTTATATTTATTGTTGTGAGCACTTTGTGGCAGTAACTCTTAGTTTGTGTGTGTCGTTGAGGCCTGTAATTGCTGATAAGTGGTAGTAAACTCATCCCAGTAGTGCGTGGCTGTCATTACATAAATTTGGAAATGTATTAATCCCTCAGAGGAATACTGCTTCCTTCACTGCCCACTACACAAATGCCATATATTTCAGAAAAATAAATCTTAAATGTATATTCTTGGGCACACAGTTAGGGCTATTTTCCAACTCAACACCTGTTAGCCTCATTGTCACATGTAGCGACAAGTGTGAGATTAGAACAAAAAGTAGATTTTAAAAAAAGACTTGATCATATTTAGGTCTTTAATATAAAGGACCATGATCCTGAAGATCAGCAGTTAGATAGCTATTGAAAGCATGGAGTAAATGGTGGTGTGTTTAATCTGTTTGTCTCACTATGGTTTGCTTTCTGAACCAACCTGAGGCCAGATCTCCACTGGAAACTTTTGCTGGTTGTTATTGTTGGTTAAGGGTGAGACTTTTTTTATAGGCAAAGGTCCTAATGTGCTCACAATTATATTGGCAAAAAAACCCTTTTGCCAATATAGCATATTTTGTATGGGGTGCTGGTATAAACTGTATTGGTAAAAGCACACTTCTGTTGGTTGAGCAAGTAGAATGGTTTACTATACTGGCAGACCACATCTAGTGAAGACTAGATCCTAGCCCCTAAATGATTTTAAGAATCAACCCCAAACGCAGAATACGTTGTAATAAAATAGTCTTGACCACTGTAACAGGATTCACGTCCAAAAGAAAAGCCATATACACTCCTGCCTAGCAAAAGATCAATGGGAAAGGATACGGTCTAGCCACCAATGGAAGATCCAGAGATTGTGTGCCACTTGAATGAGAGAACATGCTGCCTTTTATTAAGACCATAAGTTCAGATTCTTCTAATCTTTCGATAGATGGGCTTCCTTTTGCCTACCAATTTAGCCTCCATTTTTTTTCTGAACTGAGCGTGGGCCAACTGTTTTTCATCTAGATTTCTTTGCCTCTGATACTGTAACAAAGAAGAGTCAAAGTGGCTTCATTTGGTTCAGTTTAAACATGTTCCCGCGTGACAAGCTACATTAAAAAATAGCATATTATCCATCAACCCATCCTTACTCTAGTGTATGAAAAAGTGTGGTATGCCAGTATAATTATGTTCGTTTAAATTCACACCTTATATTATACTAGTTGTTAGAATTATCATTAATATAGCTAACTACCATGACAATGATTTAATCATAAATTCCTTTATTAAATCTGAGGCTCAAATGGTATTTCTACAGTTGCTGTAAGCATGAGCATGTATGAAGGCTTAAATAATAAGCAATTTACTGTGTCCAAACAGTAACTAAATATAAGCATTTGATTAAAATACTTATAAAAGGGGTGACCCGTGGTGCTTAGACCCATATTGGTAGTTTCCATCTTGGTTTATTTTATACCATATAATAAACAATTGGCGTCCTTGCCAAGTATTAGACCTTAGCTAAGGCCTTTTTTATAATACGTAAAACGAATATATTGTTTACTGCATGTGGTGTCCGGCTGTTTTATTTCAGTTGCTTCAGATCAAACCTTAAATAAGAGAACACTGGTATTTCAGCTAATCACTACAAATAACACAACTCTTCTTTCTCTTGACCACAACGAATGAGATCATGTGTTTTAGGCCTTTTGCTCATTCTAGTATTACAACCCAATTGAAAACCATATTTCACCCATATCTGATTTAGGCCTATATTCCAACAAGTCCTAAAGGAGACAAGACTGAACTGTGCACACTTCTGCACTGTGCACACTTCTGCACTTGAAAACTCTGAGCAAGGAGGAGAGAATTAATTAATTGGGAGGGTTTTTTAGAACGGAGTATTTTGCTGAAATCCTATTTTTATTTCTGTCCAGTGGCTTATATGTTTAAAAGCAAGCGCTTGTTTTTTAAAGAAAAATATAATATCCTTGCAGACTGTTTTCCTATGGCCATCATGAAAAGCAGTAACTAAACTGAAGATCTGTATTTTAAACTGAGCTGCTTCTGGCTATCAAGATTTATTTTTGAATGATGCTGTTTAAGATTTAGTTAGTTTGTAATGGTCAAAGAAGAACAGAGGAATCCTCATTTCAAAGACGCCTTAACTATAGCAGTATATATTATTACAGACTTTTATGCTGATAGTCAACCAGCTGCCTTTATAGGTTTATGCTCCATACTTCTGAAAAAAATTGGGAGATGTCAAAGTAAAATGCTAAGTTTTTGTGACAAGATATATTATTAATAGAGAGAAATTTTAGTAAAGAAAACACACATTGTTACTAAGCTATCCAATATCTTTTCTCCTGTTTGTCTAGCTTATACATATGTGGATAAACTCTTGACTTACAATGTAAGGTGTACTGATAGCTTACCTCTTCAAATCATGGGCTCACTATTTTTCCACCCAGCTAAGCAGTATTCCTTTCTGATCTTCCTTTTACAAGGATAATAGCAGATTGCGAAGGGTGGGGAGGATTTGTGTTGAGGACAAAACCATTAATATGTGGTAGATCCAGGTGATAATGCACCAGATGGACAGTTCTAATTCAGGAAATTGAAATGATGTTAATGTTGATAAATGTAAAGCAATGCACATTAGAAAACAGAATCCCAACAATATATACAATATGATGAGGACTAATTTGGCTACAACTATTCAAGAGAGAAATATTGGAGTAATTGTGGATAGTTATCTGAAAACATCCACTCAGGGCACATCTAGATTACGTTTTAATTTTGAAAGAGGATATGCAAATTCCCGGGGAATTTTCAGATCATCTTCTGATCGCTTTTCCGAAAGTGGGTCTCTCGAAAGTGAAAGTAGTCTGGATGCGGTTCCCTGAAAAAACTACATCCAGACTACTTTCACTTTCGAGAGACCCACTTTCGGAAAAGCGATCAGAAGATGATCTGAAAATTCCCCGGGAATTTGCATATCCTCTTTCAAAATAAAATGTAGTCTAGACTTGCTCTCAGTGTGCAGCAGAATGAAAAAAGCAAATAGAATGTTAGGAGACATTAAAAAAGGATAGAGAATAAAACAGAAAATATCTTATTGCTTCTATATAAAACTATGGTTCTCTTACATCTTGAATACTGCGTACTGATGTGGTTGCCTCAGCTCAATAAAGATATTTTGGCATTGGAAAAGGGTCAGAAAAAGGCAATATAAATGATTAGGGGTTTGGAACAGATCCCATATGAAGAGAAATTTAAAAGACTTGGACTTTTCAGCTTAGAAAAAAGGAGACTGAGGGGAAATATGATAGAGTTCTATAGAATCATGACTGGTGTGGAAAAAGTGAATAAGGAAAAGTTATTTACTTATATTCACAATATAAGATCTAGGGGTCACCAAATGAAATTAACAGGCAGCAGGTTTAAAACAAACAAAAGGAAGTTTTTCTTCACTCAGCACACAGTCAGCCTGTGGAACTTCTTGCCAGAGGATGCAGTGAAGGCTAGAACTTTAACAGGGTTCAAAAAAGAGCTAGGTAGATTCATAGAGGTTAGGCCCATCAATGGCTATTAGCCAGGATGGGTAGGAATGGTGTCCCTAGCCTCTGTTTTTCTGGATGTGGGCAACAGGGGAGGGATCACATGAGAATTACCTGTTGTGTTCCCTCCCTCTGGGGCATCTGTTATTGGCCAGTAGCAGCAGACAGGATATTGGGCCAGATGGACCTTTGGTCTGACCCAGAATGGCCATTCTTATGTTCTCTCAAAGGTTAATTATCATAGAATCATAGAATACTAGGACTGGAAGGGACCTCGAGAGATCATCAAGTCTAGTCCCCTGCCCTCATGGCAGGACCAAATACTGTCTAGACCATCCCTGATAGACATTTATCTAACCTACTCTTAAATATCTCCACAGATTGAGATTCCACAACCTCCCTGGGCAATTTATTCCAGTGTTTGACTACCCTGACATTAGGAACTTTTTCCTAATGTCCAACCTAAACCTCCCTTGCTGCAGTTTAAGCCCATTGCTTCTTGTTCTATCTTCAGAGGCCAAGATGAACAAGTTTTCTCCCTCCTCCTTATGACACCCTTTTAGATACCTGAAAACTGCTATCATGTCTCCTCTCAGGCTTCTCTTTTCTAAACTAAACAAACCCAATTCTTTCAGCCTTCATTCATAGGTCATGTTCTCTAGACCTTTACTCATTCTTGTTGCTCTTCTCTGGACCCTCTCCAATTTCTCCACATCCTTCTTGAAATGCAGTGCCCAGAACTGGACATAATACTCCAGCTGAGGCCTAACCAGTTCAGAGTAGAGCAGAAGGATCACTTCTCATGTCTTGCTCACAATACACCTGTTAATGCATCCCAGAATCAGGTTTGCTTTTTTTGCAACAGCATCACACTGCTGACTCATATTCAGCTTGTGGTCCACTATAACCCCTAGATCCCTTTCTGCTGTCCTCCTTCCTAGACAGTCACTTCCCATTCTTTATGTGTGAAACTAATTGAGCAAATGGTTAGCTGTATCAATGCACTTGTAATGTGAAGTAGCCCTTCTGAGGCTGTAACAAAGTCTATAGGAGAGAGCGGCTCTACCCTCAGACACTGAGGAAAATTGCTTTCTTTTTTTGTCTTTATCTGTAATCTCATTTGCAAGAAAGAAGTGGCCCAGTCTTCCAATATATTGCTGCTATTCTTGAATTAAAAAAATTAACTCATTTTTCCCATGAATTACCATTTTTATGTTCTTCCTTGTTGCTACTTTTGTGAAGAGACCCACTCAACACGTAAGAAACACAGTTTTAGTTGCAATGGTACAGTATGGGAACCTGCTGCTTTATTCAGCTATATAACAAACAGCAGAGAAGATGTACACTAAAAAACAAAGTAAAGGGCGCGAGATTAGAGCATAGTTCCAGATTTTCTTATTCTGAGTATCCCAGTTAGAACCTTGATAATCACTTTTACTACACAATCATATATATAGTAGCCTAGTGTCTGAGAGTCTGTATCGCTGAAATGCTGGCTGTTCCCTCTGGGAGGCGCTGTTGCTGAAATGCTGGCTGTTCCCTCTGGGCGGCTCGTGTTGCATGGGGAGTGCGGGGCCCAAATGGCTGCTTGCGCCGTTTGCTCCCCCGCGGCGGCCCGGCTGAGCAGCACAGAAGTCAGCCGAGTGCTGCGGCGGGAGAAGAAAGGGAGCGGGGCAGTGACATAAATGGCCAGGGGGCGGGGTCTGGCCGTGTAAGTCACCGCCCTGCCCCCCTTCACCTTCTGCCATGGCACTTGACTGACTTCTGTGCCACTCAGCCAGGCCTCCGTGGGGGAGCAAGTGGCACAAGCGACCGTTTGGGCTCCGCGGTCCCCCGAGTGAAAGGCAGGAGGGGGAGGAGAAGAGAAAGAGAGAGGCAGGAGGCGGAGGAGAGCTGAGAGGGAGGGGGAGGCAGGAGGAGACCGACAGACACACACACACCCCGGGGGCTCAGGAGAGAAGACCAACATGGAGGAGAGACCTGAAAATCCCGTCTTATGACGGGCTAGTTATATAATAACAATGTCCTCTGAATTAGGTGGAAAATTTACAAGTTAAATCACTGAAGCCATTAAAATATATCCTTTGTGTATAAAATATGTTTGTCATAAAACTGAGGGAAAAATCAGCATCATAAAATGGTATTTTCTTACCATCTTATTTCAATTTTTTTAGGTAACATACCGACAGTTTGCAAATTATGTTCTTGTATGCCAGTTTGTGCTGGTAAAGACAAGCTGCATTTAAACTCAATTTGTTTTTGGCACATTTCTTTACAAAATAGTACATTTTATTTTTAAAATGTATATTTTTGCAGTCCATAGAAACTCATTTGATCCGGAAATCTAGTGGAGGTCTGACATACATTGCTGAGTGGAAGGGTGGCCTTCTTGAACATAAAATGGGACATCTGACCTGTTTTGCTGGAGGCATGTTTGCACTGGGTGCAGATGGGGCACCTAATGATAAAACAGGACATCATATTGAACTCGGCGCTGAAATTGCTCGCACGTGTCACGAATCTTATGATCGTACAAGTAAGTGGTGTATTTTGAATTTTGACAGAATAGCTGTGCTTTGATCTTTATATTTAATTCTGTCCTGGTTAAAACTGGTGCAGAAGGTATTGTATGGCGTTCTGGAAAATGAATGTAGAGTGCTTTTTGTTCCTTCATTTAAATTGTTGTTTTGCTCTGAACAATGACTCTAAAAGTGGTTCCTCCTATGTCAACAGATATGCTGTATGTGTCTGTTGCATCATGTCTGCTTTCATTAGCAACAAATATTTTTGCTTCCTCCAGTTCTGTTGAGCTCACCATAAATGAAATGGATTCTGTTAATTTGTGCGCACATAGAACTACAAATGAAGTTATAAATATAAGGACAGATTCTGCTCAGAGTTCCTCCTGTGTAACATTTATACAGTAGGGTTACCCAAAGATTGAATGTGAACGATCTTTAGGACAGATTCTGCGAAGTTGCTGAAGTGAGAAGATGAAAGAACCCAACCATAGTGAATTTGCAGAGCAAACTGGGGGAAAAATCATATGAAGTACAAATGTGCAAGTTAACTAGTTATGCTTACTGGTTCCAGTTAACCAGTGGAGGCTGGAGCAGTTCTTCTGGTATCCAGAACAATCCCTGTCCATAGCAGCCCAGGTGTGTTGCAGGCAGGAGCTGCTGTCTGTGATGAGCCCGGGTTACATCAAAGCAGCCGTGGATGTCTGGAGCAGCCCCCATCCATGAGGGGTTTGGGGTGGGGAGGAAATGCAGGCAGAGGCCACTCCAACGGTAGGGGGAAGGCATTCCAGCCCAGCTAGGCTAGAGTATCCCCTCTAAATTGGTTAACCAGTTAAACTTCACGTTTAACCAGGTAACCAAATGAATGGGATTTTACATTCATAATACAGAGCCACAATAGACTTGAAATATCCCACAATGCAAGTTTTACAGTTACACTTTTGGAGCAAAAGTGCATTTAAAGCATTGATGCAGTATATTCCTTTTGCACCAGCTATTGGAATTTCCCAAATATAACAATTATAAGTAGGAGTTTGGACAGCCCGATGGCTAAAGTGTAGATGATATGGCATAGTGTCATGAACTTAATCTGAAAGTATGACTAATGTTTGTGCCTAAAAGAATATTCGTATGTTTTAATACTTATATTCACTATGAAAAAAATAGTCAAACAATTGGAAGATGTCCAGTTAAAATCCTGGATACAAAATCATCACTAATATTGTCACACATTTAATTTTTACTGTCTAGGTATGAAACTGGGACCAGAGGCTTTCAGATTTGATGGCGGCGTAGAGGCCATTGCTACAAGGCAAAATGAGAAATATTATATCTTGCGACCTGAAGTTATAGAGACTTACATGTATATGTGGAGGTTTACTCACGATCCAAAATACAGACAGTGGGGATGGGAAGCAGTAGAGGTAACACATTTTGTGGGATTGTCTGATGGGTTTTTGGTTGGTTGGTTTACTTTTACTATAACTGCTAAACAATTTCCTTTTGCTACTGTTCAAGAACAGTAAACTTTTTGTGATTTGTTTGCCTAAAATAACAGGTGATTCAGTAAAATACTCTCTGATTTAGATGAAATCAGATAATTTCGGGTTTGGCTGCACCCAGTCTTGCAGGAGTCTGCATCAGAAAAACACTTCACAGTTTTCCTTAGTTAGTTGCCTCATAAGCTAGAAATTCTACAGGTTGGTTCCAAGTGCATAGTCAGGGTTAATTGGGTCAGTAGTGTCATATGCATGACCACAAAAATGATTTTATTGGAAAATTTACATTATTCAGTTTTTAGCAGGTTGTCAGGGATATGTGTTTATTGCACTTTGATGATGTAATGTAAATAGGAATGTAAATATCCATTTAAAAAGTTAACCAATTAAATGATCTAATTGTAATGGTTTAACTGGTTAACCATGCAGCTAGGATCTGTTCTATGGCCAGCTGGTGTCCTACTGCACCACAGGCAGGATCCTGCCAGCTGTGCCTCAGGGGGCAGGAGGCTGTTCCCTCAAACCAGTCCTTCAGTTAACTGATTACCACATAAGCATGCTGGTAAGGTAACTACTTACTGGGTAACTAGTTAACCTTTTTCAATCCCAAGAATGAATAGGTTTCTATTGATCTTTTTGAAAGTAAATTTTGGCCAAGACTTCAGAAGTACCTAGAGATTGACCAGTTTTAAGAATCTCACAAACTTAAGTCTCTTTTGAAAATCTTGGCCTTAATTCATATTATTTAAGGTCAGAAGTAGCAATTAGATTATCTAGTCTTATCTCATGCATATTACAGATGACAGTGTTCCTCTGTTACTTTTGACCATAATTTAAGTTGGGCTAAAGCATCTTTTCCAGAAAAGCATCCAGTCTTCATTTGAAGACATCAAGAGAGAAAGAATCCACCACTTCTCTTGGTAGTTTGTTCCAAAAAACCCTCATTGTTTAAAGTTTGTGTCTTGTGTCTTATTTTAATTGTCTGACTTTGGTTGTCTTTGGTTCTTGTTTTATCAGCTAGATTGAAGAGCCATTTAGTACCTGATATTGTCTCCCCATAAACAATATTTATAATGTATAATGAAGTCACTTCACAAATTTTTTTTTGATAAGCCGAACTGAACTCTTTAAGTCTCTAATGCACTCTAATACATCTTCTCCAGCTCTCAAATTCATTTTGAGATTGTATTCAACATTTTTAAAATGTGTACATCCAAATCTATTCAGTTCTCCCCTGCTGTATGCAAAGGCTAAAATTGTGTCTCAGCTCCTACTCATTGTTAACCTGTTTATTCTTCCAAAGATAGCATTAATTCCTTATGGCCACAATGTCTCGCTGGAACTGCTAGTTGAGTTGTTTTCAACTATGACCCTAGATCATTTTCAGAATTGCTGCTTTCCAAGAAACAGTCCTGATTCTTGTATTATTAATTTTGTATTTGGCTATATTAAAACGTGTTTTATTTGAATGGGGCCCAGTTTACCAAGCAATCCAGATCGCTCAGTATCACTGCCCAGTCTACTCATCTGTCTTTATCATTCCACCACTTTTTTTGTTTCCTACACACATTTGTTCAGTACAGGCCAAACCTCTGTAGTCCAGGACTCTCTGGTCGGGCAACATCTGCTATAATGCAAATATTTTTCAATAGAAAATTCTGCAGCATATTGAAAATTTCAAAATTGGAAAATACCATAAATTGAATTAAGTACTAATAGATAAGAGGAGATACCATAGAGATTGTGTTGTACATATTCATATGTATTTCAGTAGATCCCTCCCATTTTAAATTTATCAGAAGCTGATGCAGAATCTTCAGTCTGGCTCAGAAGAGCAGAATAATACAGGGGCCTTGCCACAGAATTCAGTTCAGGGTTGCTGTGGAGTACACAGGGCTTTCTTCGTAAAGGAAGATATTGTAGAATTGTGGAAACAGAAATGTAGGACTGGAAAGGACCTCAGTAGGTCATCTAGTCCAATCCCCTGCTCTAAGACCAAACTAAGTATTATCTAGACCAGGGCTATTCAACATGCGGCCCGCCACCTGTTTGTGACCTGCAGTGCGGTTTGGGTTTATGCATGGCTCAACACACAGCCCACAGCTGGGAGCCAAAACAAAAAAGTAGTCAATATAATGGTCTTCTGTTGATATGTGTTTTAGTAGTTAAATTCCTGAACTGTCATTGCTCATTAAAAGTGCTGTCGTATGGGTGGAAATGACATTGCATTTTTATTAGTATCAGCAGAACTGACTTCAGTGGGGCCTGTGTGTTGTGTAGTCTTCCCTTAATCTTTGTATTCATGCCTGTCAGTGTGAAATCAACTATTTGCATGTATATGCCACCACACTTACGTTACAGCCTTTGGCATGTGTTGTATTATTGTGGCCCCTGGGGCTTCCAAAGTTGAGTAGCCCCAATTTAGACCATATTTGACACGTGTTTGTCTAATCTGTTCTTAAAAACCTAACTAGCTTATTTGTTCCAGTACTTAAGTATTCTGAGTGGTAGGAACTTTTTCATAATTTTTAATGTAAATACCTTTTGCTGCAATTTAAGCCCATCACTACTTTTACTGTCCTCAGTAGGTAAGGAGAAGGTATATATGTGACAACTGATGCCATGTCTGCTCTTAGTCGTCTCTTCTCCTGACTGCACAAACCTTTTTTTTTTTTTTTTTTTTTCAGTCTTTCCTTGATGGTCATGTTTTTCTAGACTGTTAAGCATTTTCGTTGGTCTCCACTGTGTGAGACAATATCAAAAGTCCCTACTAAAGTCTTCCTCTTGATTCTAAAGTATTTATAAAGTGTTTTCTCATTGTACTTTATGGCCATAGCTAGTTTGTTCTCATTTTTTACCTTGGCCTTTCTAATTTTGTCCCCACATGCCTTTGTCGTGTTTTTTTCATATTCATCCTTAATAATTGAACCTTGTTCTAATTTTTATAGGACTCACTTTTGTTCCAGGTTGTTGTAGTTCTCCTGGTTAAATCCAGGGTTTAATAATTGAACATAATATGGTGGAATTTAATAGACTCTGCTAGAGATCTTTCTTTGAACATCTATGGGGATCATAGGGACTATCCTGTGATAGGAGTCCATTAATGAAGGGAAAGCTAGATTTAATCTAAGCTATCACTTAAAAATAAGGCACATGTTTTTAACCATGTGAGTAATAAACCATTAGAACAGTTTACTGAGCATTGAAGTGGATTGTCCATCACTGATCACTTTAAATCAAGATTGGATGTTTTTCTAAAAGATGCGCTCTAGAAATTATCTTAAGGAAGTTCTTTGGGTCTTTGTTTTATACAAGAGGTCAAATTTTGACGACTCACCCTGAAAATTCAGTTGTATAAACAAAGTTCATTTCTTCTGTATATGTTTTGTTTTTCTTCACATGCTGGTCCCTCTGTCTGTTCCATAGACGGGTATTACATGTGCATCATACACCTAAAACTGGAGAATCTTGCAAATTGTATCCATTGGTCTGTGCCAACATCAGATTCTCATGCTAAATACCCACACTATCCCCTGCTTTGAGACTAGCTCTTCTAAGGGACGTTTTCACCCCAGAAGAGGATACCGTCTTAAAGAGGAATTAAGTTGCTTCTCTGACCACAAGCTAAAGCTTCCCTTCACTGGCACCAACAGTACCACCACCCTTCTTATCAGCTGAATCCAAAATCCAGGATGAACTGCCATCTCCCAGAGAGGTTAGCCCAGACAGGCTGCAGAGGTTTTGCTGGACTCCATCTCCTGGCCAAGCAGAATTATCCTCCAAAGGATCACGGGTATCCTGCTTTGTGCCCCTGCTTCACCCTCCCCCGCCCCCTAAAACAGCTTTTGCGAGCCTTCATGCTGGCCTTATTGGGGTCCTTACGCACAACACCCTGGATTTGTGCAGTCTACCAGAGAATCACTCTCCTTCTAGGCAACAGCTGACTCTACAGGAATACAGAAGATGACTACAAGTTGGGCATGCCAGTACTGCTGCAGAGAATATTGGCAGAACTTGAGATCCCATTTAGAAGTAGTTCAGGATACACAGCATAAGCACTTGGATACCTAGCAGCCTATGAGAACCAGATGGATAGCTCTCCCATTGAATGAAACCATTATAGAACCAGCTAGAGTGACATGGCCAATATGGATAACATGTACCCATTCCCCTAACAGGGCTGAAAAACAGTCTTCTGTCAGCAAAAGGGACAGAATACTTAGTCACCCACCCTGCCCCAAAGTCAGAGGTAGTGCAAGCAGTCATGGGAAGATCCAGACAGCAACATGCTAAAATTGGACCTTTCCTTGTCTACAGGGTTTGTTTTAGGATGTTGCCTCCAGGGTCATTTCATGACAGCTTGTGTTACTAGCGACTTTGGGCAGGGTGGAACATTCTGGAGTTCAGAATCACGGAGGGCCTGTTAATAACAAATACACACAGTTCCTGGAATATAAAGACAAACTCTCCCGGGTGGAAAGGACTTGAATCTACACCCTTGTAGAGGAAGGTAGAATCATGGTTAAAACCTCATGGCAAGCTGCAGCTGGGGCACTCGATACCACATCAAACTGTATAATTGGTCACAATAGTAATGTCATGAGAGTTCTGACTTTGTCATCAGGATTCTCAACTTCACTGAGGACTTGCCTTTTAATTAAACCAATATCTTCAGTGGGAAAAGAGATGAGATTTTGCACTCACTAAAAAACTCCAGAACAGCTCTGTATTCCCTGGCCATTCATAACCCAGCCACAAAGAGGAGGTGTCATTTACATATAAGTCAAAACCCTTCTGCAGTCATTCTACTGCTGAAAACCATAAAAATCATTGCAAAAGCATTAGAGCCTGCAGAGCCTAAGATATGCAGTCCCATCCATCAGAGATGGATTAGGGGGTTGCGGAACCCTGGGCCAGAACAAGTAGGGGCTCCTCTCCGCTACCCCCCCATAGCACTCCTGTCAGAGAAATGGGGTTGGGTACAGCAGATTGCCTCCACTCTGCCACCTGGCACTCCTGACAGGGAGCAGGACAAGCCTCGTGCCCCACCCC